GAAACGTGTAAGCAATCTACACGCCTGCCAGCTCTCGAGGGTGCCGTGTCAATCGCAAAGCACAGAAATACTTTACTGCTGTCGAATGGTAACCATGTGGGCTTCGCAGGTGCTTGGAAAGTAGTTTTTGTTTTTGAGACAGAGTCTTACTCTGTCGCCCAGGTTGGAGTGCAGTGGTGCGATCTCAGCTCAGAACAAACTCCGCCTCCCGGGGTTCAAGCCATTCTCCTGCCTCAGTCTCCCGAGTGGCTGTGACTACGGGTGCCCGCCACCACGCCCAGCCAATTTTTTGTATTTTTAGTAGAGACAGGGTTTCACCGTGTTAGCAAGGCTGGTCTTGATCTCCTGACCTTGTTATCCGCCTGCTTTGGCCTCCCAAAGTGCTGGGATTACAGGCGTGAGCCACCGCTCCCGGCCTGGAAAGTAGTTTTTTAAATGGTCAGAAGAAAAGCAGAACGCAGAGAAACACAGGTACAACGCTTTCGGCCGCACACAAGTGTCAAAATAGGGCTTGCAGCCAAGCAATGAATTAATAGATTCTCAGTGCCAAGTGCCAAAAGGGTCCTTGGGTTTTTGTTTCCCATTTTTTCCCGAAATATAAAGATGTCTATTCAATAAACATGAAAAGGAACCACGTGTGATTAAAGGAGCAGAGGTGCAGATGAAGGGCGGCTCTTCGGAGCCCAGCACTGTGAGTGCAATTTGTCCAGAGGGATGCAGGCTCCTGGGGAGCCCGAGGGCAGCTGTCTTCTCACAAGACATTATGGCCTGGGGGGCAGCTGTGGCCTGTGGGCCAGCCTTCTCATCTAATTGAGCTTGTATTCATTCACTGAGTAAACACTGACTGGGCACCTGCTGTGTGCCAAGCACTTGGAGACCCAGAGGGCACAGTGCAGGTGGAGACCTGGCTTGGTGGGAGGGCACAGTGCAGGTGGAGACCCGGCTTGGTGGAAAGACGCTGTGGCGAGGCGAATGGTGTCCCCAGAACACGTGTCCACTTGGGACTTGTGAATGTGACTTCATTTGGAAAAGGGATCTTTGCCGGTATATTAGTTAAGGATACTGAGATGAGCTCATCCTGGCTTTCAGGCACACCCTAATCCAATGATAAGTGTCATCTAAGGAGAAGGAGAGGGAGGGGGCTGTGTGAGGATGGGCAGGGGCTGGAGCGAGGTGCCTGCATGCCAGGGGCGCTGGGCACCTCCAGAGAGACCCGGAACAGACACCTCGATTTCTGCAGAAGTGAGAGAGACTACGTCATGTGGATTAAGCTGGTCTGCCCCAGAGAGCTCGTGCCTGTGGCCAGGGTGAGAGGTGCTGTTCAAATGCTCGCAGGGAAAAGCCAGGGGGACCAGAAACAGCCAATTTAGCAAATCAAGTCACTGCTGTGCTCAAAACCGTCCCAGGCTCCCACAGCCCTAAGAAGCTAAACGCCATTCTCCACAGGGCCCTGCTGACCCCCGACCTCCCTCTCTGCCACCCCCTCCTGGACCCTGCCCCTCCTCCTGAGCATGCTGTACCTGTCCACCAGGACCCTGCTACCTCCTGACCTCCCTCCCTCCCACATCCCTCCTGGACCCTGCCGCTCCTCCTGAGCGCCACGCTGCACCCATCCACCGGGGCCTCCACGCCTGCTGTTCCTCTGCCCAGAACTCTTCTGCACGCCCTCTGGTCCGGTTCCTGGTGCGTCCTTGCCTTCCACCCCCCTGTTTCCCGCAACCCCGCTCTGTGTACCTTTCCTCCCTGGTGCTCACCACTGATTGGCTGGGTGCCACCTGCGAGTCTGTGGAGCTTTTTGGGGGTGGCAGGCAGGCAGAGTCAGCAGAGGCTGCGGACAGTGGGGTGCAGAGGGGCTGGAGCCACTGCCTGCAGACAGGCAGGACCGTCTTTCTGCTTGGTGTGACTTGGTCATCAGCGAAGTGGCAATCAGGACTGGACCCATGGGGACGGGGTCAGGAAAGGTCTCTGAGGAGGGCATCCTGGGAGATGATCTGCATGCAAGGCTGAAGGAGGAAATTTGCAGGGGGTGTGAAGGTCATGGTGAAGGTCAGAGCAGGGGCAGTGGAGGAGCAGGGCCGGTGGAGGAGCAGGGCCGGTGGAGGAGCAGGGCTGGTGGAGGAGCAGGGGTGGTGGAGGAACAGGGGTGGAGGAACAGGAACAGGGGCGGTGGAGGAGCAGGGCTGGTGGAGGAGCAGGAGGAGCCGGGGCGGCGGAGGAGCGGGGTTGGTGGAGGAGCAGGGGCGGCGGAGGAGCAGGGCAGCCCTTGCCAGGGCAGCGAGGGCTGCCGCACTTCCGGGGCTTGTGAGATGGCACTAGCCTCCGAGGAGAAGGAAAATCACTGATGAAATAACGTTGAGAGGTGAGGAAACACTGTCATGGCTTATTTATTTTGCATTCCTTGCAAGAGCTCTTTTTGACTCATTTTTTTCTTTTTATGGAGGCTCAGGAGTGAGGCCTGAGAACACAAGAGAAACGGCTTCATTAGACCCCGGCCCCACCTTCTTCCCATTCTCAACCACCTTCCACAATTTACCGATGTCTGCGTCTGTCCCCTGCACCGTCCTCTGTAACCCGTGAGTGGCGGACGCAGCCGTTGTCCCTGCCTCCAGGGCAGCGGCCAGGCCACGGGTTGGTGCCCAGGCAGGCACATCCCAGCGTCAGGGCAGCGTCTCGCCTGGGTGGCTGCATCCCGGCCGTGGAGACGCCGGGTGGCGATCTTGTTATGATCTCATTAGCCAGATGCAGCGTTCTCTTTCTCTTCATTTTTGAAGAGCAGTGGGAAGGCACGGGAGGGGTTCAAGCCTGCTTTGGTTCTTGTCTTGAGCTCACCGGGCGCCAGTGCGGAGCACCGGACGGAGACAGGAGTAGGTGCAGGAGGAAGAGTTGGGGGCTCCTGACATCGGGAGTGGGATCCAGGTGGCCGCAGGGCGATGGGAGATGAAGCGTTTCTGAGTCGAGACTGGGAGGATTTGCTGATGTGAGGAGTGGGGTAAAGGAGCAGCCACACCGGCTCCGAGTTGGGCCTGGGCTGCTGGGAACAGGGATGCCACCTCTTTGGAAGGGACGCTGCAGGGAATGCAGAAGGGTCTGACATCCATGCACAGAGGGACCTGGGACGGGACGTCCGGTGGTCGGCTGGGTGCATCTGGAGCAGATGAGGCAGGGCTTGGAGACAGCTTGGGAATCACAGGTGAGAGTGTCCCCCAGGGTCCTGGGGATGAGGTCACCTGTGGCGAGAGCATAGTTGGAAACAAGACATGGCTGTCACAACTCCAGGGTGGGAGACGGACCGCGTTAAACCCGGCACCCTCGGTCACTGGGCCCGGCTGTGCCCTCTGCTGCTGAGCTTCCCCCTGGCAGCCAGAGTGGGAGCCCCCAGGGAACACCTGGAGGCCGGCGGAGGCCACCCCGTCGCTCCCCTCTGAGCCTGTGGAGAGGAGCTTCAGGGGCTGCGGGGACTGACAGGCAGCCACAGAGGCAGGACTGGAGGAACCCGGAGGCCCCAGTGAGTGGAGTCACTTGGGTGGGAGGCCAGCAGAGGGAATGCAGCAGCTCGCGGGGGCCGGGACCGAGGAGTCTGGCCTGGATTCCGGGGATTTCAGGGATTTCCTGCCGTAAGGGAACTGACTCCACATAATCATCCTCATAATAGAAGTAGTTTTCAGATCGGAAGTGGTTTTCCTCTTTTCTCTGTGTTCTTGTTTCCAGCTGTATTTTTCATCTTGTTTTTGCCTTCTTTTCTTTAGTCATGATTCATGGAATTCATGGGCTCCTTTATTTCTTGGAAAACATAAAAGCAGTTGAAGTATACATTTTCTTCTGTTTATGGAACAATCATGCCTTCAAAGTGACATTCGTACCTGCCTTTTTTTCTGTTACATTTGTTTCCTTCTTTTGTTATTTTTTTTTTTTTTAAATCCCGGAATCTTGGTACAGACTCTTACTGGTGTTCCCGTGGGTGCCGTGTTGGGGTCTGCTGTTTTCCCATGTGGGGTGGGAGGGCCCTTCTCGACTTCAGTTCCTGTTTACCTGGGTACTGGTGTTTTGTGTCTTTGTTTTTAACTTTTAATTCGATGACCACAGATGCACAAGAAATTGCAAATGCAGCAGGCAGAAGACCCCTGTGCCCTTGCCCAGCCCCCCAACAGCCACTTTATTGGGGTACCAGGGACCCGACAGTGATGGGCCCACCCGCCTTGCCGAGTGTTTCCAGCTTTCATTACACTCACTTGTTTTCCATGTGGTTTTATGGAATTTTACCACCTGTGGCGGCTGCCACGCTGCCGTCATCACGTGGTTCTCCCTCAGGCTGTCCCCTGTCGCCACCCAGTCTCCCCTTGCCCCACCCCTAACCCCGGCAACCACGAAGCTGTTCTGTAGCTCTGTGATTTTGATATTTTGAGAATTTTGTATAAATGGAATTGTGTAGCATGTGACCTTTAGAGATTAACTTTTTAAAATTCAACCTAATGCCCTTGAGCCCCCTCCAGGCTGTGAGTGTGGCAGTGCGGTCACGCTTTGCGTAATGACGGGGATACATCCTGAGGACTGCACCGTAAGGTCGGTGAGTCAGCCAGTGGGTGGCGGGTGAACATGAAGGCCTGGGACATGACTGTGCACTGCCGCAGACTTTATAGACATTGCACACTTAGGCTAAACTCAATTTATGGTTACAAGTTTTCTTTCTTCAGTAAGTTAACCTTAGCTTACTCTAAGTTTTTTACTTTATACACTTTTTGATTTTTTTTTAACTTTCTGACTGTTTCATAACATTTACCTTACAATACATGTTACAGCTGTATTTTCTTTCTTCATATCCTTATTCGATAAGCTTTTTTCTATTACATTTTAAAAAATACTCAGGCACAAATGCACACATTAGCCTGGGTCTACATACGGTCAGGATCATCCATATCTGATAGGGTATAACTGTGTCCCCACCCAAGTCTCATCTTGAATTGTAGCTCCCATAATCCCCACGTGTCGTGGGAGGGACCTGGTGGGAAGTCATCGAATCGTGAGGATGGGTCTTTCCTGTGCTGTTCTTGTCACAGAGAATCAGTCTCATGAGATCTGATGGTTTTAGAAAGGGAAGCTCCCCTGCATATGCTGTCCTGCCTGCCACCATGTGAGACGTGTCTTGCTTCCCCTTTGCTCTCCACCATGATTGTGAGGCCTCCTGAGCCATGTGGAACTGTGAGTCCATTAAACCTCATTCCTTTATGAATTACCCAGTCTTGGGTACGTCTTTATTAGCAGCATGAGGACAGACGAATACGATGTTGCTGTCTTCCACCTCCACCTCTTGTCCCACTGGAAGGTCTTCAGGAGCAATAGCACACATGGAACTGGTCTTTCCTGTGATAATGATGCCTTCTTCTGGACACCTCCTGAAGGACTTACCTGAGGCTGTTTTACAGGTATCTATTTTTTTTTTGTAAGTAGAAGGAATACACTCTGAAATTATGATAACAACTATAGTATACTAAATATATAAACCAGTAATATCGTCATTTATTTTCATCATCAGTATTATGTACTGTATATACTTGTATGTGCTAGACTTGTATATGGCTGGCACACAGTAGGTTTACTTACACCAGCCTCATCACAGACATGCTATGACATATGGTGGCTGCAGTGTCACTAGGGGATGGGATTTTTTCAGCTTCATTATAGTCTTATGGCACCACTGTAGCATATTCGGTCTGTTGTTGACTGGAGCATTGTATGCTAGTTTATTTCTGTTTATTGCTCAGCTCACGTTACCAGTGTACCACAGTTTGTTTAACCACTCACCCACCGGAGGAAATTGACATTGTTTCCAGATTTTGGCAATTATGAATAAAGCCGCTGTGAACATTGGTATACAAGTTTCTGTGTAGACAGAAAGTTTCATTCCTCTGGTGTAAACGCCCAGAAGTGTCATTGCTGGATCATAGGGTAAATGTATGTTTAATTTTTTATCAGAGACTCCAAAATGTTTCCCAAAGTGGGGTACCACCTTCCATTCCCACCAACGCTGTGTGAAGGACACAATTTCTCAGCATCGTCGTCAGGCTTTGGTGTGGTCTCTGTTTGTGATTTGAGTTGCTCTGAAAGATGTATAATGGTATTTCATTGTGGTCTTAATCTTCATTTCTCTAGTGGCTGGTGATGTTAACATGTTTTCATGTGCCCATCTGTATATCCTCTTTGTGAACTATCTGTTCATGTCTTGCACATTTTCTCACTGGATTGAGCTTATCGTTGTTGAGATTTGAGACTTTCTTTATGTATTTCAGATTTTGTCCTCTGCCGGGTGATCTCCCACCCTGTAGCTTGTCTTTTCATCCCCTCACTAGGGCTTTTCACGAGCAAAAATTTAAATTTTCATGTAGTCCAATTTTGTGTGTGTTTTAAAATTGATAATACTTTACAAGCCAAGTCTAAGAATTCTTCACCTAACCCTAGATTCCAAAGATGTCCATCTCTGTTGTTTTCTATAAGTTTAGTAGTTTTACACTTTAAATTTAAGTCTGTGGTCCATCGTGAGTTAATTTTTGTACATAAAGGGAGACTTAGGTCGCAGTTCTTTTGCCATTGTCATTGTCATTTCTTTTGCCAGTGGATGTTCACTCACTCCAGCACCATTTATTTGTAGAAAGACTATCCCTTCTCCATTGAATTGCTTTTGCACACTTGTCAAACATCAGTTGGAAGTACTTGTATGGATCTGTTTCTAGGTTCTTTATTCTGTTCTCTCTTCTCTCTGTTTCTCTATAGTCTTGATTACCGTAATGATGGAATAAAAATTAAAATCAGGTAGTATGATTCCTCCCACATTTTTATTCTTTTTCAAAATTTGTTTAAGGTAGTCTGGTTTATTTTCCTTTCCATATAAAATATAAGATACGCTTATTCACATCTGTACAGGTTTCTGCTAGGATTTTAATGGGAACTACACTAAGACTGTAGATGAATTTAGGGAGAATTGAGTTTTCCAATTCATGAACATGATATTTCTGTCCATTTATTTAGATTTTATTTTACTTATCTCATTAACATTTTGTAGTTTTCAAAGTACAGATCCTGCACATGGCATGTTTATTTATACTTAGGCAATTTTTTTGAGTTATTGTAAATACACTGCAGTGTATTTTTAATTTCAGTTTCTATGGGCTCATTGCTATTATACAGAAATACAATAATTTTTATGTGTGTTGTTCTTGTATCCTGCAGCCTTGATGAACACACATTAGTTCTAAGAATTTTAAAATAATTGAGGAGGAGATAATTTCTATGTATACCATCATGTCATCTGCAAATAAGAAGAGCTTTTCTTTATTTTTTTCCAATCTCTATGCCATTTGTTTTCTTTTCTTGACTTATTACTCTAGTTAGGATTTTTGGTCCTACATTGAATAGGAGTGGTAATAGTAGACATCTCCAGCTTCTTCGTGATATTCAGGATCTGAGTCTTTTATCATTAAGTGTTATGTTAGCTGTGATTTCTTTTTTTGGTAAATGTTCTTTATCAAGTTGAGGAAGTTCCTCTCTCTACCTGTTTGCTGCGCGTTTTTTTTTTTTTTTTACATCATAAATGAGTGCATTGACTTTTGTCAAGTACATTTTCTGCATCATCAATTGACATGATAATGTGAGTTTTTCTTCTTTACCTGTTTACCTGTTGATGGTGTATTATATTATTTTCAATGAACCCTACTTTGCATTCCTGCAATAAAACCTACTTGATTATGGGGTATGATTCTTTTTTTTTTTGTAATGTTTGATTGAATTTGCTAGTGTTTTGCTGGGGATGTTTGCATCTAAGTTCATGAAGGATATTGATATTTTTCATTTTTGTGCTTTCTTTTTCAGGTTTTTATTAAGGTAATACCAGTCCCATAAAAGGAAAAAGGATATGCTTTTTTCTCCTTTATTTTCTGGAAGAGATTGTGTATAATTGGTGCTAATTCCTCTTTGAATGTTTGGTAGAATTCTCCACTGATACCACCTGGGCATGGAGACTTTTAAAGAGGCTTTTAAATTAGAGATCAAATGCATTTTATATTGGATGAGCTGTAGTTTTCAAGTAATTGATCCATGTCATCCAAGTTGTGAAATTTATGTGTACAGGAATGTTTGTAATATTTGCTCCCTTTAATGGCTGCAGGGTCTGTAGTAATATCGCCTCTTTCATTTCCAGCATTGGTAATTTGTGTCTTCTCTCTTTTTCCTTTGTCTGTCTTGCTAGAGGTTTATTAATTTTATTGATATTTTCTTGGAAACAAGTTTTTATTTTCTTGATTTCCTCTTATTTTTCTGTTTTCAATTTCATTGATTTCTGCTTTTTAATTTTCTTTTTATTTTTTTCTTGCTTTGTGTTTATTGTGCCCTTTTCCCTAGTTTATTTGTGTAGGAATTTAGATTATTTTGGCACTTAAATTATTGATTTGGAACTCTTCCTCTTTTCTAATGTAAGCATTTAATATGCACCCCACAAATTTTGGTATGTGTGTTTTTATTTCTTTTTGTCTGTATTATTTAATTTTCTTCTAGGATATTTCTTGAAGCCATGTATTATTTATAAATTTGTTGTGTAATTTTCAAGTGCTTTGAGATACTCCTGTTATCTTTTTGTTATTGATTTCTTCTTTGGTTTCATTATGGTCAGATTATGTATTTTGTATGATTTCAGTTACTTTAAATTTGTTTCAGTTATTTTATGAACCAGGATATGGTCTATTTTGGGGAATTTTCCATAGGTATAAAATGTATATTATGCAGTTTGAAGTGCAACAGTCTCTAATATTAGATACTTTTGTTTGATAGTGCTCAGTTTTTATGCATCTTTGCTGATTTTGTGTCTAGCAGTTTCATTAATTGCTGAGAGAAGGGTGTTGAAGTCTACAACTTTATTTGTGGATTTGTCTATTTCTACTTTCAGTTTTATATATTACTCTACTTTCAGTGTTATATATTATGAAGCTGTGTTGTTCAGTGGCTACGTATTTTGGACTGCTGTGTCTTCTTGCATACTGACCCTTTCACCATGATGTATGTAATGGCCCCTTTTGTCCTCAGTAATTTTCTTTGCTCTGACAACTACTTTATCTGATAATGTATAATGTATATCAGATAATGTATATCTGAGTAGCTATATAGCTACTCATACTTCTCTTCTTTTAAGCCAACATCTGCCTCCATCCTTTACTTCTAATTTACCAGACTTTGATGTTCTTGAGCCCTGGCAATGCCAGTTGCTCCTTGGTTTGCAGCCTCATGGTAATCATTGTCCTTTCTACTTTGCAAAGGTGTGGCATCAGTACCCAACCACCTTACCCACTGGCATACTGCACACCTGTGATGGAACTGGGGATTCTTAGGGTGCTTATGGCTCCAGGATGACACCCGGGGTAGAAGCCCACTTCACTCTCCCTCACAGTCTGCCTCATGAATTTTAAACCAGGTGTCCCTGGAATCATAGCTGTCGCATCATGTTGGTACAGGGGCTGGGATGAGCCCAAGGACCAAGGCGCTGTGGCCTAAGACAGCCTCATGGATGACAGTGGTAATGGCAATGCCCAGCCTCTGATTCTTCCCAGGTGGCACCGCCTCTATCCCCTGAGAAGTCATTGTCCTGTCTGGGGGACCACATGGTCACTCTCCAAGAAAGACATCCATGTGAGGGAGACAGATCTGTCTCTGTGTACCTGTCATGGAAGGTGGAGGTTGGGCGTGGTCTGTGAGTGCTCCTCTCTGTCCTGGGGTCCCTGATTCCTTGGCCTGCAGCTCACTGCCTGCCTTGAGCCCCTCTGAGCCTGGGTGGTGGCATTGAGGGCTCCCAGGCTGTCCAGCCATAGTCAGCAGAAAGACAGATGGTGGGGTTGTCTAGTTGAGGTGCCTAGGTGCCTTTCAGCACAGAATCCAAGTCACCCAAAGATAACCAACCACTCCAGAGCACAAGTGGGTATAAAGACAAAGGAACACCCAGGACACTTAGCAGCAAGGTAGGAAAAGCTCATGTAGGGGCAATTGCTTATAATTGAGGGGAAAATGGAAGGAAGGGTGGAAGGAAGGAAGCAAGGAGGGAAGGAAAGAAGGGAGGGAGGGAAGAAGGGAAGGAAGGAAAGAAGGAGGAAAGAAGGGAGGGAGGGGAGAAGAAACAGAAAGAGGGAAGGAAAGACAGAAAAATGGAGGAAAGGCGAAAAGGAAGGAGAGAGGGAAGGAGGGAGGGGAAGAGGGTGAGGAGGATGGACCTGAGCAAAGAGCCAGCAAAGAGCCCCGTCCCCTCCCTGCCCCCAGATCTGGCTGAGCCTGCTTCCGTGAGGTCTCACCCAGAGGGAGCTGGAGCTCCATCCACAGAACCTCACTAATGTCTGACCTGGCCTCATCCCGGGTCTCCTGGGCCTGGCCTTACAAGGCGATTGTAAAATGC